CAGACTCTCTCGTCCTTCCTGCAGCGTCCAAGCGGAGTCGGATGGCCTGAGCCGTCCGGCTGTGGGGGGTGCTGGCGGCCCCTGTGCGCTGGGGTAGGTGGCCTGGTGGAGGGGGGAGGGAGGCCCAGGCTGATGCCTGCCAGAGCTGCCCCACCGCCGCCTCCTTAGGAGGACCCAGGTGGGAAGGAGGGAGGCCCTGGGAGGAGAGCTCGAGGGAAGGGCCCAGCGGGGGGTAGGGAGAGTGCTTGCCATTTCCAAGCCAGAGGCGTGCTCCCGGTCTAAAGCGACGCGTGCAGCCAGCGTGTCACGTGGCGTCACTCTGTCTCCCCCCCCCCAGGCGGCCAGCTGGGAGGTCTCCAGGCCCCACCGGGAGGTTGGCATCTGAGGGGGCGTGCCATGAGGTGGCCTCGCCTAGGGCACACAAACCCCTCTGGCCGGCCCTGTTTGGGAGTGCTCCTGGATTCCTCCTTAACAATGGAGGTCCAGGTAGCAGCCACTGCTAAGTCGGCCTTTTACCATCTTCAGCTGATTGGGCAGTTGGTTCCCTTCCTTGACTGCAATGACCTGGCCACAGTGATCCATGCGATGGTCACCTCGAGACTAGACTACTGCAATGCTCTGTACATGGGGCTGCCCTTGTTGCAGATTTGGAAGCTGCAGCTAGTGCAGAACACCGTGGCCAGGCTGTTAATGGGCTTACCAAGATGGCAGCACTTCCAGCCAGTGCTGAAGGCCCTGAACTGGCTGTCAATAGCATACCGAGTTCACTTCAAGGTGCTGGTACATAAGAACATAAGAGATGCCAATGTTGGATCAGGCCAAAGGCCCATCCAGTCCAACACTCTGTATCACACAGTGGCCAGAAATACCAATGCCATCAGGAGGTCCACCAGTGGGGCCAGGACATTAGAAGCCCTCCCACTGTTGACCCCCCCAAGCACCAAGATGACAGAGCATCACTTGCCCCAGAGCCCCTATCTATACCTTGTGGCAGCCACAATAGTAAGTAAGTAATGGTACTTACCTTTAAAGCCCCATATGGCCAGGGTCCGACATACCTGAGGGACCACCTTTCCGCGCATACACCCCAGAGAGCACTGCGGTCGGGGTCACAGAATTGGCTGACCCTCCCGGGCCCCAAGGATGCCAAGGCTTGCTGTGACGAGGGCTAGGGTCTTTTCAGTGGCAGCTCCTTACTGGTGGAACGAGTTCCCGGAAGAGATCAGGACCCTGCGGGACCTATTACAGTTCCGCAGGGCCTGCAAGACGGAGCTCTTCCACCAGGCTTTCGATTAGGAGCCGCCCCACTAATAGCATCAACAAGCCCAGCCCTCAGTCTCAACATCTGGCTCATTACACCGAGTAGGAAACACCGGGTCGCGTTTGTCCAGATTTATCTCATTACACCGAGTGACTCAGGATGACACTGAACTGAACTCAGCAGTTGGAGACATATCCAGCACACCACCGCAAATAGGAATTGTATTACTAATAGCACCTTATGTTTTTATGTTTCTATGTTTTATAATCCTATATCGTAGTGTTTTATAATGTTATATGGTTTTATCAGCAATGTGCCAATGTTGTAAGCCGCCCTGAGCCCGCATGCGGGGAGGGTGGGATATAAATCGAATAAATAAATAAACAAACAAACTGCTAGCCGATTGGCCAGCAGCTCCTCTCTTGTGTACCTGGAACCTGCTGCTAGCACTGGCTGTGTTGGCCCCTTCCAGCTTTGTGATATTGAATTACAAAATGAAGAAGCTTCGCTACCCAAGAATTTCAGAAATATAAAATCTTGGCCTAATTTTATTGCTGGCCCTTATTTAGTTAACATTACCTATGAGCCCTATAGATGGGCCTTTTCCAGGGCACTCCTGTCCGCTGTACTGCAAGGCAAATTCACTTAAGTTCCAATGCATGAACGTGTATGCCCATGCATGGCTGATATGGTGGAATCAGTTACTCATGTCCTCCTGTTCTGCAGATTCTATCAGGAGGAACGAGACTATCTTATACTACCCCTTCTGTCTAGATTTAGCCCTCTGCAGTCTAATCTTGACTTTAGGCCAAAAGTCCTTCGTGAATTCCTCTTAGAAGATGTTCAGAGCTCAGTGACTTACGCTGTGGCAAAAATTTGTTGCTTAGCTACTAGGAAACGTAAACTTATTTTAGCTGAAAAAAATGTATGATCCTCTTATTAATATTATTTTATTTTACTAATTTTCTCTTGTTAATGTTTTATACTATTCCCACGTTATTACTGTTTTTAATCCTTCTTCTGTTCAGAAGTGTACAGTTTTACTGGCTCCTGCTGTAATAAATTAGATGGATCGATCGATTGGCCCCTTCTTGCATCACCAATCCTGCCATAGTGCCTCCGCTGTGGCTTCTACTCTGCTGATCCAGCACAGTCCTTCTTGTGCCCTCTTTCTAGGTATACCGAGGCCTTGAGGGGGGTTGTGGAGATGGAAAGGGTGCTCGGGAGCCACTCACTGCAGGAGTTTGAAGAAGCCCTCTTCTGTGGCAGGAAGAGCCAGCCCATGACGTGGGAAGCTTACTGGAGATGCAACGAGCCCCTGCGGGATGCTGACGACGTGGCCGTGCCAGTGCTGTGCGTCTGCAGTGCGGATGACCCTGTCAGGGGGCCTTCTAGTAGGACCCTGCCGTGGGAACTCTTTTGCACCAACCCTCATTTCTTTCTGCTCCTGGCGCCCCACGGGGGGCACTGCGGCTTCCTTCAGAAGAGCTCCTTACCATCTGCTGCTTCTTGGGGAAACACGGTGGCCCTGGAATACCTGGGGGTTTTGGCCAAGTTCTTCCAGGCAGACGAGGGAATGAGAGAGAGGCCCCGCCGGAGGCGCTCGGCCATCCTGTATCAACATGGTCAGGGTGTTCGTCAAAACAGAGAAACCTTGCCAGCCAGCCTGGATTCCCAGGAGAGCTTCAGCTGGCAAAGGTCATACACTCGCTGATAGTTGGTGGAAATGCCAGGGGGGGGGGCAGGGCTGGATGGAGGGCAATCCTTCATAGAATCATAGAGTTGGAAGGGGCCATCTAGTCCAACCCCCTGGCCAATGCAGGACCTGCCTAAAGCATCTCTGACAAATATTCGTCCAGCCTCTTCTTGAAAGCTGCCAGTGAAGGGGAGCTCGCCACCTCCCTGGGCAGCTGAGTCCACCTTTGAACCACTCTGGCCGTGAAAAAGGTTTCCCTAAGATCCAGCCGATACCTTTCTGTATGTAGTTTAAACCCGTTGCTTCAGGTCCTATCCTCTGCTGCCGACTGGAACAGCTCCTTGCCCTCCTCCAAATGACAGCCTTTCAAATATTTAAAGAGAGCAATCATGTCCCCCCTCAGTCTCCTCTTCTCCAAACTAAACATTCCCAGGGCCCTCAGCCTTTCCTCGTAGGGCTCAGTCTCCAGACCCCTGGTCATCGTTGCTCTCCTCAGCCCCATAACCCAGATAACAAACTCTGGAAGGCCTTCCCTAGCTGCCAGTCAGACCAGACCCCACTGGCCTAGATGGACCAAGGGTCCTTTTAAAAATCTTCAGTGGGGACCCAAAGCAGCTGACATTGTTGTCCTCGCCTCCATTTTATCCTCACAACAACCATGGGAGGCAGGCTAGGCTGAGAGCGTGACTGGCCCAAGGTCACCCAGCAAGTTTCCATGGCCGAGTGGGGATCTGAACCTGGGTCTCCCTGATCCTAGTCTGGCACTCTGACCACTACCCAGTGCTGGCAGACACTGCCTCCAGGAATGCTCAGAAATGACTGCAAGGCCGTTTTATTTGCCACGGCATTTAATGGGACATAAGCAGAAGACATCATTATTGGGGGGGGGGGGAGACCTGGAGCTTTATTCCGGATGTTTTAAATTGTGCTTTGCAAGTCGCCATGTGGAAAGGTGGGGAATGAATAATTTAATACATTAAGATGGCCGTTCCTGATGGTGAAGGCACAAATTAACATGTCATGAAAAGCAAATCAGGAAGTCAAGTGGTTTCAGCATGTCTGGGAGCTGCTTCTTCAAGGCTGTTCAGTCATGGGAATATTTTGAATGGAAGGCAAGCGTGGTCTTGCTGGACTAGACCAGAAAGTCCAGCTCCACCCCTTGGAGTCAATTCACTCACACACACAGACACACACATTCAACACACACTCCTTGTGTAGGACCTCAAGTACACTGGGAGGATCCTTTCCAAGGCCACGCCTCTCTCTCCTTCTAGCCTCCCAACAGCTCGGTTCTTCTGGCCATTCCTGTCTTTGCAAAACAGGCACGCGGGTCTGACATTGTGTCCACGGCCTCAGATCTCCTTGGAGGAAAACCACCATGTCTTCTGCCAGACTTCCCTTACCCACTTTCCTCACACCATCCAGGCTGCGTAGGGGCCTGATGATTAAGGGATGCTACCACAGACCAGGGCTTTTTTTGTAGAAAAAGCCCAGCAGGAACTCATTAGCATAATAGGCCACACCCAACAGCAGAAACTCATTAGCATAATAGGCCACACCCCTGATAGCACAGCTCATTGCCTATTAGGCCACAACCCCATGTTACCAGAAGTGTGCTCATTCAGCCACACCCACCTTGCGCTTCTTATTCTGTTTACCTTGTTTGTTGTCAAAACCCAGGGGTTTTTTGTAGCAGGAACTCCTTTGCATGTTAGGCCACACACCCCTAATGTAGCCTAATGAGTTTCTGCTGTTGGGTGTGGCCTATTATGCTAATAATTTCCTGCTGGGCGTGGCCAACTTGGAAGCCAGCCGGAACTCCGTTCCTGTGCGTTCCTGCCCAAAAACAGCCCTGCCACAGACCCTGTGCTTCTCCTCCCAGTCTGACCAACCAGCCAATGCCTGAAGACTTACCAGGGATGCGGGTTCTTCCAGAGGCGGCAGTTCAGTCTCGCCCACGGTGGGAGCAGCTGCGCCTCTACAGGTCAAGTCCCCACACTTAAAAAAAGGTAACCGAAACCAAGCTGTCCCTCCCGCCTCGTCGCCCAATCAAAACAGACACACCGCAGTACTAAAATTACTTTATTACAGCTCATTTGTTTTAAACATCTCCTTTGCTATGATACAAAGGATACTTACAAACAAAATATTACATAGGGCCCTCTTTCTCTTTGTCTTTCCCCCAAGAACTTGATAACAGCTTTAAATGCACAATCTATACAATTAATACAGGTTATTATATATGAGCTATTACATAAGTCTGAACCAGAAGAATACCAGAATACTGACGCGAATATTGTACAACAGAAGCCCAACTGTAGAGTCCGTGTGGAAAACGCACACCTGTAGCAGCAGGGGCGGTGGAGGGGGGGGGGGGAGGGAAAGAAGAGAAGCCGCGCTTCTGCCACGCCCGGCTGCTGCAGAGGGACCCTCCTTTTGCACCTGCATGTGACCAATTCGGAGGAAGCTTCTCAAGAGCCTCCGGACTCATCCCCCGCCCCCCCGGCCCGCAAGGAGACCCCGGCATGCATGCTTTGAGCCCTGTTAATAAACCTGATATAGCGGATTCATCAACACAGGCAAACATCCCACTGACGAAGGAAATTCTGAGAGAAGACGGACCTGAAGGGCCCGGTCAGAGAAATGAGCTAGGGTTACTGTGGTTAATGCCATTTCAAAGCCGTCCCCAGTCTGGCTCCTCTGCCCTGCTCGACCAACCGGGATTTGAATCTGCTTCTTCTCTGTTCAGACTGCAGGCTGTTCCGTCGGCTCTAGCGGGAGGGCCCCCTCCCCCCCACCAGTGCTTTAAAGCACTTTTCAGAGATCTGAGTACAGGGCCAGGATGTGTAGCCCCCGAGAATGGGTCAGACTATCTGAGAACATCCCTTCCCATAAAGCCCTGTAAATCGGCCAAACACACACATTGTAGAGTGTGTGGCCGAGTTCAGACTGGAAGTTTGCCCCGATATAGGCACGTTTCAGAAACGTTCCACAACTGGTTTAAAGGGGCCGTTCACACAGGCACATCTGTCAGGTATTCCCCACCCGTACTCAACCCGTCTTGTAACACTTTGCTCCCGAGTTTAAAAGATACCTGGTGAAAGTGGTAGCAAACCCCGGAAAGCGCGATTATCCCGCCTCCATCTCGCACCAACAAAGTGTGGACACCAAAAGCCGCGTTTTTCTTATGTGTTTATGCGCATATGTGCATAAGCGCATATCTCTAGAGTGCCAAAAAGAAAGCCGCGCCTTACAGCCGTGTCTCTAGGCCAACAGTGTGAACGCTCCCTTGTGCCTCCTCCCGGTATGCTCCCGCATCATCGCTGCACTGTGAACGGTAAAACCCGGAACAGTTTGTTCCGGCTCTTTTTTGCCACGACTCCCTCCCGCTTCAAACTGCCCATCTGAACTCTGCCTACGTGTGTGTGTGTGTGATGCAGATCCCCTTTTCCTTTCCATTTTCAGTTCTCCCCATAGCTCAAGACACCCCCCTCCCATCGAGGGTGATTCCAAATTCACTGGAAAGCGGTGGCATGGTCTCAAGGCAGCTATGGGGCTACGGAAGAGTGAAAGGGCTACCATGCGTTAAATCGGGGGGGGGGCAGTTATGAGTGTGCATCCTCTCCCCTGCAGCCCATGGACAACGTTTTCCCCTTAGTAGCTTGCTCCCTTTCTTTCAATCAACTGACAAGTTTATGCACTCTTATAGTTGACGGTTGAAAAAAGACATGGTGTGTAATAAACTGGAAACAAAAATAACGAGATTGAAAGGGAGGATTTTTTTTAAAAGTCATGTCAAAAAATTTAAAATATACAACCCTTGTGCAGGGGGGGAGAGAGAATCAGATCCACACTAGAAGCCAAACGGGAGGGGGATTAATTATACAAAATTAATAAATAGAACAGCTGGCTGTCAGAATAAGTCAACCTGGCTTACAAAAAAAATGTTATTATACATTCAAGATGCTCTTTTACCCCAAGGAGGGATACATTTACATTGAAGTTGCGTTAAGTATTGTTTGTTAGAAATCAAGTGTCAATTTCATCTTAATCCTCACAATATAAGCAAGCTTTTTTATTTTTTTAAAATGCCAAATGTACACTATTCACATTTCACACACTTGACTGAAAGGCCTTAATTTAAGAAGATGCTTAGTACATCACTTGCTTTTATGATTAAAGCCAACATTTTAAAAAAATTCTTGCTTTGTCATAAATCCATGACTGCTTGGGTCCTGCCACCATATGGTTAGAGACCCTCCTTCTCTGGGAGGAACATATGCAAAGGACTTCCAGCAATGAAGGGTTAGTTAAAACACAACGCTCTCTTATTACAGTTTTGGCAAACGGAGCTTCTTCCATGTACGTGGCATGTACATTTCTACATCAGATCTGCTCCAACAGAGATGGCTACTGGTCAGGGGCAATTTGCATGTTCTGAGATGGAAAAGTGAAGGGGGCAAAGAAAAGTGGTGAGATGGGGAGGGAACGACAATGACCATATTTGCTCATAAAAAAACCCCCAAAGATGTGCTCTCTCTCTCACACACACACACAACTGCACACACATACTACACCTCTTTCTCTCCCTGTTGTCCCTCCTTCTCTAGACAGCTTATATGCCAATATGGAGTCTATTGCCTCCAGAGACTATGCATGCACACCTCTTTCCCCAGCACAATACCAACTGCAGCTTCAGATGGCCTTTAGCATAGGTGAGGGCAGGGGTCATTTCCTGCAGGAGCGCACAGGAGCGGAGCTCCGGCAGTAAAGAGCCCAGGGGGCGGGGACATGCAACAAGCCCCTCCTCCTGCTCCCAGCAGCCCTTAGTCAGAGCAAGAAGCAGCCAGGTAAGTTGCAGAACCCCCCCCCCCAACAGTCCAGTGGCACCTTTAAGACCAAGTTTTATTCAGGTACAAGATCTCCCTCCTCTGTGATGACAGATCTGCACGTTTCCCCCCCCCCCATAGCTAGCAATCCAAAACAATCCAGTGGAGCCTGAGCAGTGGGTGTTGCCTTCTGACACACTTCTGGTGATATCAGGGGGTGTGGCATATGCAAATCAGTTATGCTAATGAGTTATGCTAATGAGCTCCTGCATCTCTTTTTCTACGAAATGACCCCTGGGTGAGGCGCAGCGGAGATCAGTTCTGATTCCCTAGAATCCCCTCTTCAAAGGATCTATGGACAGGGCCGACACCTATGTTCAGCGGCCTGCTGCTTTTTGCCTCCGAAGTCTAGGCCAAGTAAGTGGGAGAGGGTCAGCTAGTGGAGTTTGCACACAGCCCTGAGATGGATACCTGGGGGGGGGGATCCCCCCTTCCAACATTTAATACAGACAAACGTACAGGCAAACTCTGACATGTCCCTGAAGTGACATCCATAAGAAACAAAAAAGTGTACAATCAGCAGCAAATCTCAGTGACTCACATTTCTCCTTGCATCTCTTCATGCAATTTTCAACCATATTCTGTGACTCAACAGTAAAAAATTAGAAGCCAGCTCTCTGGATATCAATGACCTCAAGCATGAAGCCTTCCAGGTAAAGGCCTTTGCTTACACCATTGCTTCTTGCCAGGGCACCGGTCCTCATGAAGAGAGGGGTGTTTTGTAGGCAGGGGTTTAACTGCTATGCTTTGAGCTAGGCAAGGAAAAGGCATCCCATGCAGCCCCCCACCCCCAAACCAGACTGGGCTGGAGGAAGAGACGGACAGCTGCAGAAGCCCCCCTTAGTGTGGATGGACCGCCTCGCTTGCTCTTGCAAGCCCCATTTGCTCCACTCCTTTTCTTGCTGACAAGGCCTTTTCCCCACCAGAGTGCATGTTTACCCAAGGCTCTGGGGAAAGGGCTTTCAAGGGAACCCAGAGAGAGCTGAGAGCAAAACGGCCAGATGGCCCATTAAAAGTACATACTAAGACAACAAAACCAGTTGCCTACACTTACTGCGAGCCTGGAGAGTTGATCGCTCAGTTACACTCATCCTGACAAAGCCAGCGTCGTCTCGTTGGGTCTCAGCTATTTGGTAGAGAATGTGCTGATGCCCTTCGGAAAGGGGCAAGAAGCCCAACAGAGTCCAAAGACTTCGCTCGGAGAGTTTAAGACAGACCCCGAGCCCCAACTTTTTTGAGCCTGTGGGCGCCTTTGGAATTCTGACACAGGGCAGTGAACACAACCACAAGATTTGGCTGTTGTGGAAGGTGGAGCCATCCAGAAAATTGCCACGGTGGAGGCAGAGTGACACAGGCACACAGAAGAAACCCAAGTGCAGGGCAAGTGGAGTTGGGAGAACAAAACCAACTTCCCGGTGGCTTATTTTTAATCTGCACAGCCAATTAGAGCACCAAAGGCCAATCAGAAGCCCTGCTGGGCATGTTCCCCACTTCACCCCACCTGTTTCCTAAAAACACTAGCTGGCAAGCACCAAGAAAGGACTTCATAGCCACCATGACAGTCATGGGCACCACACTGGTGACTCCTGGTTGGCTGGGAACCCAAGTTCAAATCCAAAACCCATCAACAGCACAGCTACCAGGATAACAGCAAAAAGGGCAGATTTAGACCTCACCTTCATATACTGGGCCAGCCTAGAAACCAGTGATGCTGCAGAGAAGCTTCAGTTGGGCCTCCCCAAATGGGAGGTCCTACAATCCGTCCAAGCTGTGTGGCCTCCTCCCAATGGCAGGCGTTCTCTGCATTACGGAAACAGCCAGCCCTTAAGAACATAAGAGACGCCAATGTTGGATCAGGCCAAAGGCCCATCCAGTCCAACACTCTGTGTCACACAGTGGCTAGAAATACCAGGTGCCATCAGGAGGTCCACCAGTGTGGCCAGGACATTAGAAGCCCTCCCACTGTTGACCCCCCCCAAGCACCAAGAAGACAGAGCATCACTTGCCCCAGAGCCCCTATCTATACCTTGTGGCTAATAGCCACTGATGGACCTCTGCTCCATATGCTTAGCCCTTCTTCAACCATGGGGCCAAGAGACACTGGCACTGATGGGACTGCTTCACTACCACACCTGAATACAGAGATCAAAGGTAATGTGCGAATCCAGCTACTTGAGTCAGTTTTTGCAGTTGCACATATCTTAGCTCTGAGTCCAGTGGCACCTTCCAGACCAACAAAGTTTAAGTGCCACTGGATTCAACCCTTGCTCTGTTGCTTCAGACCAACACGGCTACCCACCTGAATGTCTTAGCTCTGTTGGCATCAAAACCCGTGTAAGCAAGCAACACAGTGACATTTTCTATGTCTGCCAAAGCATGAGAGATGGAGAGGCCCATGGGCTCTAGGGGTACCAACAAAAGGGTGGAAAGGGGTTGGGTTTATAGCCTCTTTGTTGCTGACAGCATCTCAATCATGTTCCCTCCTCCCAGGAGCAGGCTACTGACAGGACACACCTATGGGTAAGGGTGACAGAGGAGGCTCCATCCCTAGGTTTCTGGAAACTCAACCGGAAGTACACCCCACAGTAGAACAATCTTCTTCTTCCTCATCTAGCCTGGATGGCCCAGTCTCAGAAGCTATGCAGGGTCGGCTCGGGTTAGCACTTGGATGGGAGACCACCAAGGAAGTCCAGGGTCACTATGCAGAGGCAGGCAAACCCCCTCTGAACGTCTCTTGCCTTGAAAACCCTACGGGATCGCCATCAGTCCACTGCGACCTGATGGCACTTTCCTCCACCACTCCTTCTTCCAAGACACACATTGAAAATTTGTGCCTTGGGCAGCGGAGCCACTGAAGCTCCAAAAGAAATCCCCTCACAAGGTGAGGGGCCTCTTTCACTCCACTCAAATCAACCTCCAAAGTACCACCGGGTATGTGATGGGCTGTCAGCACCTCCTCAGAGACAAACGGCACAGCTTTGTGTGTCTTGCCACCCGTTCACATGTACATCACATAGGGAGGCACAAACATACGCACAAATGAGAACCCATCTGTAAAAAAAAAGTCCCGGTGCATTATGTCTCTTGTGTGTATGGGTTTAAGGTGGGCTGTGATCCACAAAGGCTACACTATCGCTGGGGTTCCTAACCGAAGGCACCAGGTAGCTCTGTGCCGGGGATGCAGATCAAAGGGCTTGGGGCTACCAGTCTGACACAGAAAGAAAATCGCCCATGGAGATTTCCCCTGAAAGTAACCTCAAGAGTGAAGGAGAGAACCTTCACTGTATTGATTGCGCACGGTTAATGTGAAGTTGACAACTGGAGAGACTTTTCAGTGGATGTTTAGAGAGCCAGTGTGGTGTGGTGGTTAGAGTGCTGGGCAAGAATCGGGGAGACCCAGGTTCAGATCCTGCCTCTGCCAGAGAATTTCACTGGGAGACCTTAAGCCAGCTACACACACTCAGCCTCATCTACTTCACAGGGTTGGGAGGACAGAATAGAGAATGATGTGTCCTGGGTCCCCACTGGGGAGAAAAACGGGTATAAATAAATAAATAAAATGCTGCAAAAGAGAAAAACAGGCAAACAAAACGGGATGAACACAGGGGCCGCCCAGCCAAGAACAGGGAAAGAGGAGTGTGCTTCCATAATGGGGACATTTGTGACTGAGAGCTCAAGGGAGAGAAGGAGAGATTTCTCAGATATGAACTGAAGCTGGACATCAGGGTTCCAGCAGCGACCATGGGCAGTGTTCCCTCTAAGCTGAGTTAGTGTGAGTCAGCTCACAGTTTTTTTAGCTTCCGACTCACACATTTTTGTCTCAGCTCAGGAAGGATGGCTCCAGAGCAAACTAATTTATGCAGCAGCCAAATCGCTCGCTCACAACTTTAATGCCAGTAGCTCACAAAGTAGAATTTTTGCTCACAAGACTCCACAGCTTAGAGGAAGCATTGACCATGGGCTGTTGGGGCCTTCTGGACCTTTTGCTGTGGTTCCCTTCTCTTTGCCTGCTGCCTGACACAGACCCTTCCTCCACAGATTCTGCCGTGGGGGGGGGGGGGGAGAAGATGTTCAAAAACACAAAATGACCATTCCACAAATGCAAAATGTGCAGATCTTCTGACATCCTCTGCAACTTTAAGAGGAATCCTGCCGTGGACCAAATGATATGCTTGTCTAAGAGTGGCAGAGAGGGAAACACACTTGTAAGGCCCTAAACATCACGGGGATAATGGACGAGGACAGCCAGGTCTGTTTCCAGATCATGCAGGTGTGTGTGAGAGAGCAAGAGAGGAGGACAAGCGTTCTGTATTTGGCAGGTTCTGGGTCAAAGCAAAAGTAAAATAATTTTAGAACATTTCGTTTCTGTAAATCAAAAGGCAGCAACCCAGAAGAAGTCATCCCAGAGTTCAACATGGAATGAATGAAGCAAGCGAACAATTTTGGGGGAGGGGATGGCAAATAAACTGTAACATAAATCCTGAAACATCTCTCAAGTTTGCAAACTGATTCAGAAAGTACTTGTATCTCTCAGGAAGACGCTTTTACACACATCCATCGCAGATGGAGGTGGACTCTACATATCTACATATCATCATAAGGTCTAATTCTTAAAGGAAGCCTAAGACAGAAGCAAACTTGGCTTGCTCAGATCTTCACTCGGCTCCTCCCAATAGATGTCCATCCATACACAGGCCACATACAAACCATTTAGACCAATTAATCTGAATCAGTTTTTGCAAACTATTTTAATTAAAATATTAATTAATTGAAGAGTCCAGGGTCTGGCAAGTGATGATGTACATGGGAAAAAGAAAAACTGGTTACACCACAATTCTTTTCAATAAAAGCGCTAATATTGAAATTGACATGGGGGGGAGGGGAGGCAGCAGTTAAAGCCTGGTATGCTTTTACATCACACAAAACAAGATGATTTCCAGGAAATCTCCCCTGACCAACATTTCATCATAAATGCAAGCAAAAGAATGACAAGCACTGGGGTTTCAATGCCGCCTCATACCGTTGCTCCTTGGGTGCATGCATGTGTGCAAGCGAGGAACCAAGGAGTACCCCGGTGCCCCCCCAACGTTCTAGGTTGGCACCCTGTTCTTGATGCAGTTCTGCCTAAAAGGAAGAGAGCCCGGAGGTTCACAAAATTCAGTTTTGGGGGTTTCCAAGTTTAAAAAGTTTCAGTGTTTTTTTTTCTCTCTCTCCCACCTTTAAAAAATAATTTAAAAAATTAACTGGACTAATTTTACTTGAAAGACATGCCAATTACAAGGAGTGGCCAGAGGTGAAAGGGTGTTCTTTGACAATTCTTGTAGAAATACAAAACCCAGAATAAGCCACCAAAAGGTTTGCTGTTCTGATGTCTCCCCTCTCTTAACTGGAACAACCGTGCACAGCTGAACATCAGAAGGCCTTCTGCTCACCCCACCAGTTAGGTGTCGATTTGGGTTGTGGGCCAGTGATATGATCAACCAAAGAGCTGGAGGGTTTTTTTTGGGGGGGGGGGAAAGGACTGAGAGTCTGAAAGTTAAGGATCTGGAGTGGTGCTTAATTTAGCTAATTAAAAAAGTCACACTGGTTAAAAAACTGAGCAGCAGTGTGACGCACGTTAGAGTATTTTCTATACAAATATGTCACAGGGACATAAACATTCAGAAAAAAACCTTGCATTTTTCAGCCCTATAGAGGTGTTAAAAGGCAAATCCTAGAGTTAGTAGCTAGTGTTTTTTTGTGTGTGTTTTGTTGTGTTTTAAGTGTGCAAGGAAACTACTTTACAAAGATCGCCAAGCAGAGCAGCCCATGGGAGGAATTTTTTTTTTGAGGAAAACAAAATCACCCTCCGGCCAAACTGCTTTCATTTTAACCCCTTTTGACGCCAGCCCACGGTGCCTCCTTCCCTGCCCTTGGCATTAGCGGTTCCAAAGATTCTGAGCATGCAAGGCCTTCCCGCTTCAGGAAACCTTATTTCGCAGGCTCTCCCGGAATCCACGTGCATGTGGGAGCTCCTTGGAAGCAAAGCCTCTGGCTGAGAGGCAGAGAGAGGTGGTCAAGCAATCCCAACAGCCACGGCATCGTGAAGAATTCAAGCCAAGGATGGGTTGTGTGTGTGCGCAGCAAAGGGTCTACAGAGGCAAGTCAGGGGTTAGTCAGCAGCTGGGAGAGACACTGGTGCCTCCTGGCTCCCTGTGGCAACTAAAACACTCAAAACAGTTGGCTGGCTTTACATGTAAACAAGAAAACGTGGCAAGCCCAAGAAGGTAATGTAACTGGCAAATGTAGTGTCAGAAGGAAAGCCTCCACATCTACCGATGGCCGGTTGCAATTTATGGCATCTTTTGCAATACCTCTGGAATTTTGGATTTGGCCGCCTGCAAGCTTCTGAAGAACACAGCAGACAGACCGGGGTGATTCCGGGTGTCCTGTGAGTTGTTCTGATGCTTCACTAAGATGAGATGTCACAGTATTAAGTCGAGAAAACAGAACGCCTTCCTGACCCAACTCTTCCCTCCCGCATCTGCGCGTGACACAGCCCAGGCGCGTGGGGCTGAACCGGAAACAGACTTTGGGGCAGATGCGTTTCACTAGTGCAGTTCTTTTCCAAGGCCTGCTTGAGAGCAACTTTGCCATTTAGTGCAAGAGAGAGAACGTGCACTGGGGGGGTGGGGAGTCTGCACTACCTCTCTTCCCCGGCTTCTCTCAGCAGGCAAAGTCCTCCTGGCCCGCTCTTGCTGCACACTTTTGTTTGGTCCCTTCTCAGCAAGAGGCCGACTCTACCGGGGGGGGGGGGGGCGCAGATAAAACACAGAGAGGAAGCCAAGAATGCCAGGGCAGCTCTTGGCTTGGCTAATTCACCACCAGCATCCCCACAAAAGGAAAGGTGATACCGGCCCTTCCTTCCTGGGCTTCAGGAGGCAGGGGGCTGTCCGAAGCCACTGGGGAAAGAGAAAGACCATCCCGCCCCCGCCGCTGAAAAAGCCGCCCTCCTCTCCCTGACTCCACACTGCTTCCTTAAAAAAAACAAAAAGGTAAGAGAACTCTGCAGCCAAATACTATGACATCCCTGTTAGTAAACCCAAAACAACGCTTTCCCAAATGAATGCGCTCGCCAGCCCGCACCCAGAGTCCGCGCTGCTCGTGCCGGGCTCCCGGGGAGGGTGTCTGTTGGCAGTTTCGGTAGGCAGGCAGCTCCAGTGGAATCACCACTCTCAGAGACACGCTGGGAGTTACTATGTATAAGACATGTGTGACCCATTGGATATCTGTGAAGTGACACTCGTGCTCCTGCTCATGCCCTGCTCCGTCCGTCCCCCAGAAGCCGTCCGCCTCAGAGCCTGGGGGCTGTTGCGGACACCTAGTGAACTACCTCGGGGTACCCCTTGCATGGGCCCCGAGGGGTGACCCCATGGCTGGGGACCGCCTTGCATCGGATGGCCCCACGCTTGTGGCGGGCCACCCACGGGATGGCCCCAGTGGGGTCCTGAGCCCCCGGAAGGATTGTGGGACCAGCTAGACGCTCCCGGATAGCTGTGGCTGAACGCCTCGGGGGAGATATTCGAAAGGACCATGTTACTAAAACCTAGCCTCATGCTCTCTGAATCGAAGGCCTCTAGTTCCCGGGCCTGGCGCTCCAGCAGGCTTCGGATCCGTTCGGTGCGCTCGTTCTGTAACGCCAGCATCTCTTCTTCTATCTGCACAGGAGAGAAATCGGGGGGGGGGGCCAGAGTGGGGGGGGGGACAGTTTAGCACAGGAATTCCCAAAGG